AGAAAGGAAAGACTACCTTAAAAGGTGTTGTTAAAAAGGTCAAAGTCGAGAAGAGCCAAACATTAAATGATATTAAAAGCAAGGAAATCTTACAATATAGTAATAATGGTGAGAAATTAATTAATTTTGAGAGTGAGAATCCTGTAAAAAGTGAAATAGACGGAGAATTTATTTTAGACGATGAGGTCATAAAAGGAATCAATCATGATTCGAAAGAATTATTAATGCTTGAACTTGCAACCAACACATCCACATATTCACTCCGTGAAAAACGGTCATACCCACCAGTTACGGAAGATACAAAAACAAAAGCCGATGAACGCAGTTCATCAAAAGCAGTTAAAAATACAAAAGTATTTTGCCAATCTAAGGGTGAAACTTCTACAGAAATTGTTTCGAACACAACAAATGTAGCTTCATCCATTTCGAACGAAACCCAATCATCAATACCATCCCTACAAGAAACAACCAAAACGATTACATCAGGTCCAAGCGATGTACAGAGCAGAATTATAGGTTCTGACATTGCCACAAAAGAAGATACAGTTATGTCAACATCTGTTGGCAAAAAAGGGCCAACACGCAAGCTTGGAAGACCTCCAAAATTACAAGAACCACAACGTAAAACGAATCCACGAACTTGGACATGGCAAAAAAAGAAAAAGGATCTAAAAACGATTTTAACAAAATTAATGGATCAATTTAACAAGTAAATTGATTGCTTGATTTTTACAGTTATATAGTTAATAATATTAAGTTTTTAGTTGCCAATAATTTGAATCCTTTTAATAGGAAAGACGCGTATGGTTTCTTTTTAGAACCAGTCGATACCACTATCGTAACTGACTACCTCACGATCATCCAAAAGCCCATGGATTTTGGAACAATGAGACAAAAAATTGAAAGGAATGAATATTCTTCCATTGACGAATTCAAGGCATGTTTAACTTTTTCAATTAACCATGAATGCAGCATGCTATTAAATGGAATACAATACTTAGATTAATTTCTTCTTATTGCTTGATTTATTCTTCATAATAGGAAGATTTTACTCTTGTGTGTAATAATTGTAAGACATATAATGCACCAGAAACACTTTATTATAAAAGTGCGGACAAGTTATGGCAATTTGGTGAAAAAGCAATAGAACGTGAAAGAGATAGCATTCTTTTGGAAGAGGAGAGAATGAAAGCAATGGTAGCTAGTGCAGGGACGGAGATCGGACCTCGTGGAAATAAACCTAGTGGAAAAAGGGTAAATGCATCTTCCGTTGTTTATATAAGTTTATAGATTGCATTATGAATAAAAAAAATTCCTAAATTAGGCTGTAAATGTTGCACAAGGCGTCACATCTAGTAGAGGTACATAAATAATTTTCTGGTTTTTTCATATTTGCAATTTTGCTTTAGAGTAACATTATAATTGACTCCGTTTCTATAATTTGTCCCTAAGCATCATCTGTTTCAAGGTCAGGGAGACAAGTTAGAAAACAAAGAAGAGGGGAAGCACGTAAACAATTTGCTCCCGACGGTTCACTCATACATAGTAATATTCTTTTCATTTGATGTCCATAACAATTCGATAGAAATTTATAACTAAAACTATTGATATTTCATGTTAATTCGTTAAAAACAGATGATCCATTTGCCTTAATTCCACAACCACCGCCCTTTGGTGAGACACCACTCCTTACAGTTATATCATCTAAAACTCAACGTCAAGGTATTATTTCTAGTAATTATTATTTATTAAAGAGACTGCAATAAATAAATAAATAAATATTGTATAATATATAGCACGCTTTGAAGATTATGGTCCGTTTGCAACATTGGGGGTTGATCCACCTTTTTTCACGCCAGCAGATAAAGAATACATTTACAATATGTTTGGAGATGAGAAGGGCTATGCATACGCAAAGAGCCTTAAAGCGTTTGTGGCGGATATGGGCGAAGACATGAATGTGCACGTGGATAAAATAATAGATAATTTAACTTTTGGTGTTCATAGCCTTGATCGACAAGTGTCGCGTATATTGTCTAATTTAGATCCCAACAGGCCCATTGATACTTCAGTTATTATTCAAACCGAACTTGGACCTGTGAATGTGGGTGAAGAAATTGAACGAAATAGGCAGCTTTCAGAGATCAAGAAGCAACAAACTGAGCTAGATGTGTGGCAAAAAGATAAGATTGATTTAGACTTTTTGGTCAGTGATCAAGAAATAATAGCTATGACGAAATCGATGGGGAGTGATCAGCAAAGTTTTCAAAAAATGTTAGAACTCAATGCTCAGAATTTAAGTGAATTAATCAAGGTTAAGCAAGGTGTTGGTAATTTGGAGTCACAACAAAAAGAAAAACAACTTTGTATGTGATGAGATTTATAGTATTCCATGATATAGTTTATTTCCAACAAAATAACATTTAAGCTTCTCTAAATGTAGTTTCTGAGGTCAACATTCGACTTTTTAATCTTGTCCAGCATGTTCCAATGAATGAGATATCTTCAAGCACATCTTCCCCATCGCATTCAAATGCAATATCCAGGATACAACCATTTGTACAAGATCAAATTCGTCCACAAGTACAGTCATGTATTTCTGACCAAACGACCATGTCGTCGTTTTCGCAAGCGCAGCCGCAAATATTGCCAAAACGTTCTGCTAGTATTAATTCCACACCAGCTCTAATCTTGCCTAATGTCGAACAAAATGATACAATCAGTGCATTAGCGCCTGCCTCTATTTTGCACGATAGCGCATCCAATATTCTGGCCTCTATGAGAGTGCGTCAAAAGCCATGCAATTATAATCCGGGTATGTGTCATTTAAATTGAATAAAAATACCTATTTAACTATCTAAGTATACTAAATTTACATATTTATATTCTAAAATAGCTGGAAAATGTGCTAATTGCCAAACCACTGATACGCCGGGATGGCGGGCAGGTGAGACACCTGACCAAAAACTCTGCAACGGTATTTATTATCAGCCGACGTTTTCCTTTGTGCAATTGCATTAAGCATCGAGAGTATTGAGTATCGAATCCTTATTTTCACATTTAGCGTGTGGCCTGTATTATGCGAAGAACCGATCACACAGGCCGTCAAATTTGTGGAATGTTCGTTAAGAGATCCGTTGTTTTTTTTTTTTTTTTTTTTTT